ATCGTCAAAAAATCCAAAAAATTTCGAAAACACTTTCAAATCCGGAAGACCTGACAACACTAGCTACTCACTCAACATTTTTGGAAATAGGATTTTATAAGTTACTACCCCCATCCCCAATCTTTGGTTGTTTGCGACACCCCTGGTAATGGTATTGGAATAAAAGAAAAATAGACAGGCCTTTCCAGGCAGGCCGAAGAAAATGTCAGGCAGGCAGGCCAGGCCAAACAAATAAGTTGGCAGGCACAGGCAGACTTGGAATTCAGAGGCCGGCCAGGCCTGCAAAAATGCGGCCTGGTTGGACCTCTGGAGTGAATCATAAGGCAAATTGTATTTGGATATAAATCATTTTGACCACAGTGAAGCTAGCCCGACGACCGATAGAACGCGCACAACCAGTTAGCCAATCATAATCAACGCATAAAATACCTAAAACCATCAATAAAATACCACAAATTTTCCCTTGCAATCAACAATATGCAAAAAAAAACGATACAACCAAAGAAAAAGAAAATATTAGTATTACTACTATCCACAACATGACCGAAAAAATTCTAAAACTAAAAATTTTATACACCCGCTCAGTAGGCAGAGATGTTGAAAAATACGTATTCAACATCTCATAAAACCCCGCCCTATACTGGTAAAAATTGACAAAATACAAGTATGGGTACTGTCAACAACACCATCAGGGAAAATTTGTGCTAATTTAAGAATAATATATACATGTGCAGCAGGTGAAGATTCTCAAGAAGATGTATTGAACAGATTCGAAAACTGCGCCCTAGACTAGCACAAATTCAGATAATGTTAGTATTAATACCACCAACAACACTATCAGGGAAAATTTGTGCTAGCATCAGAATGATATATAGGTGTACAGCAGGTAGAGTCGTTCAACAATATGTATTCAACAGTTTGGAAAACCCCGTTCTACACTAGGACAAATAAAAACAATCTTTGTATGAGTACCACCAACACCACCATGCGGGAAAATTATATGATATCGAATTAGGGAATACAATAACAGGTGAAATTATCCGTGAACTTTTTATCACGTTCAAGACAAATTATGTTCCGACAGAATATTCAGTAGAAACACAACTCTCATAATTCTGTAATTCATTTTTTACTAGTAATGCTAACAAAAATCGTTCGAAAATATTGTTTTCTTTTATTGTTACTATGTGTATATATCTTTAATCACTCTTGTTTTTATGTTCTTCGTTCATAATAAAAATGCGTGTAATTAAGCCAGAATGTTAATTATCATTTAATTGCAAAAAATTTAAGCGAAAAATATAATTCAAATATATCATCACTAAGGCGACCATTTCCCAAATATATTTATTTTGTGCTCCTTTTTAATGATGTCTTGCGAATATTATGATATATATATTGCTTAAAGAATTACCCAAAAGAATCAATATTTTTTTTCGGCGGAATGATCCGGTTGGGCTAGCTTTCACGACGTATTATTATTATCCTCATTTTGACAATACTTTTTATTTTTAGATACAATGTATCTAAGAGGACGTACACGATCTCATGGTCGTATTGGTCGACCAACATTATCTCGTGATCAAGGTAAATTATTTCTCTAAAATCATCAAATTTTTGTTCGATTTTTTGCTGAAGATTCAGTTCCGGGTGAAGATAGCATTATGATAACAGGTGCGACAAGTTCAACACCATCGATAAAATCAAAACTTTTAATTAAAATTTAACTATAGTTATTCCGACAATATCATTGACAACAACATAATTGGATAGTTTATCTACAGTAACAGATGATAGTGATAATCATCCAACAATATCTAAATTTCCATAAACTCGCCCATTAGAACTCATTTCTAAACAAGATGAAAATGGACAAGAAATTGCTGTTGTTGCCAATAATGTCAAAATTTTAGCTGCACCAAAATGTGTAGTTTTTATATTGGTTTTCTATTTCTAATTATTTTTATTTTCTCAAGAGATTTATATCGATATTATTGTACATTCAATCCTGATGTAAAGAATTTTATTATTATCTTATAAATATAAACTTTATTAATATATTATAGATTGAATTAAAGAAAATTCGTCGAGAAATATTGGCTAAAACTGGAGTTAAAGATGTAGCTTTTGATGAAACAATTCTTTATTCGTTTGAAGGTTTTGGAACAGTAATTTTATTTTATTAAAAAATTAAATTTTTTCTTTTTATATTTTAGGAAAAACTTACGTCCGCTAAATATCCGATGACTGATGAATTAGTAGCAATTAAAATGAAACGTACAGCAACAGCTTCACGAGAATCACCTGAATTCTTTGATTTGGTGAATTTAATTGTTCCAAAGTGAACTATGTGATTGTTTTATTTTGTCATGTTGTTTTAACATTGTTCGTTATTTTTCTTTCTTTTCAAATATAAAAATGTTTGTTATATTTTATAGATATAATAATGAAACATAAAATTCTTGATATTGCTTGGGATCAAGATCCAAATCTTTCATTTATTAAATACGATGGTGCTCAACAAATTATTAATTAATATTATCGAGAAGTGAATTTGTTTTTTTTTTCATTGATATTTATTATTATTTTTGTTAATTTCAGAGATATGAAATAACGATTAAAGATGAACAAAAACCATTAATTGTTGTTAAAGGTAGTCGACGAGCTGCTAAACGTACTCGGAAAAAAGAAAATCAATCAATGATCCTTTTAATTCCAGAATTATGTTGTATTACAGGTTAAATCATTCATTGTCTTTGTATGTTTTATTATTGATATATAGAAATTTCGGATTCTATGAGACAAGATTTTTCATTAATGAAAGAATTGAGTGTTTATACATATGTTAGTCCTAATGAACGAAATCAACAATTAACTGGATTTCTTAATGATATTCAAGGACGTGAAGAAGGTCTTAAAGAATTAAATAAATGACAAATTAGTCTTGATAAAGGACTTGTTGAACTTACTGGTCGTATTATGGAATCAGAATCGGTTATATTATAAAGTTGTATAAATTCATATATTTAAATAATTCGATAAACAATTGTTTTTTTCAAATATTTAGCGTACAGATAAATACAATCCATTAGATGCCGTTTGATCTCGTGATGGACGTTCATTAGGTCATCTTTCAGCAAAAAATCTTAATAAATGTATTGTAATTTATTTTCAACGTGATTCACAAATTTCTCATTCATTTGTTGATGCTCTTTATATAGTATGCACACCATTCGGTCATTTTATTTTTAAATTTTGTCTTATTTTATCTCTCATTTATTTAAGGTATGCGTGTTGATTTTTCTCAAATGATTGAATTACCAAATGATCATTCTGAAGCATTTATTCAAACTATTGAGAATAGTACAAGTCCACAAATGGATTTAGTTTGTTGTATTTTAACTAATAATCGAAAAGATCGTTATGATGCAATTTAAAAAGTTTTATGTGTAGATTGTCCAATTGCATCTCAAATATTTTTATATCGATTAAATGAAGAAAATAAAGATTGGATTGATTTTTTTCTAGATAATCTTACCGAAAATATTACAAAAAGCAGGTTAATTAATGTCTATTGAAACAAAAGTGGGTGTTCAAATCCATGCGAAATTAGGTCGTGAAATATGGGCTGTTCAAATTCCAGTTTGGTTTTTTTATTCTCTGGCGAAAAATGTTTGTTTTGTTTGATTTAGTAGACAAAAACATTGCTGGCTGTTGGTATTGATACATATCGTAATTCTCAATCATGTTCATTACAAATGGTCGGTTTTGTTGCATCAATGAAGCCAATGTGTACACGTTATTATTCACGAGTTATTGGATAACGAAGTAATAAAGATCTTATTTCAGGATTGAAAACATGCATATAAGGTAAGATAGATCTTTTTTATATTTCGTTTATGAGAATTTTTGTCTTTGAATGAATAGATGCACTTCAAAAATATCATCAAGTAAATGGTGTTTTACCAGCAAAGATTATTATTTATCGAGATGGTGTTAATGATATACAATTACTTGATGTTATTGATAGTGAATTACCAACATTGAATGAACTTTGTATGAAAGTACAAGAAGGTTATGAGTAAGTTATCATTTAGGATTTTTTAAAGTTCTATTGTTTGTTGTTGTCGTCAGTCCAAAATTGACTATGATTGTGGTTAAAAAAATTGGAAGTGCTCGGTTTTTTGCACATAGACCACATAATGATCGTTCATCAGGGCTCGAAACGGACCACTTTTTCGTGGCCCGACCCGACCAGGTTAATTTGTAGGCCCACCCGGCTCGGCCCAGGACCGGTCTGAAAGATAAAGTATCTACAAAAATGTTTTTCAATAAAACTCGGAGATTCCTTCAGTAATCACCAATATCCCTAGGAGTAAATAACCAATATTTTAGTGACTTTGATCGATTAGATTTTCGAAACTGAAAACCCATAAGAGATAAGTTAATTCGCTTATTGAGTTAAACGAACGAACAAAAACATGTTAAAAGGTATTAGAACTCAATAATTATCATTATGCATAACTCGATGTCTCTTAGCGCCAACCTTTTTATTGTGATAAATCGATGCGAAACGTACCATATTTGTAGGTGAAAGTTTTCTTTTTGATTTTAACCATCGCGTGAGATAGGATGCAGTAGAAGTTTTTGTGGAGGAAGAAAAAACTTTGATATCTGAAGTTTAAAATCCAGCACATTCTTTGAAAACAAGTCGGCTTTTACATATATTTTTATTATTTGCACTCAAAATTAAGTATTCACAATATATCAATTTACTTCGAGCTTATGTTTAGTTTTTCGAAAATTAAATTACAGAACATTATTATGCTCATTTATAATTACTTAAAGCGTAGAAAAATCATTCTTGCAGTTATTTTAATGAGATAAAGAAAGATAGTATTTGATAGCTTTTCAATTTATGTCTAGAATATTGCGTGAAACAACTGAAAAAAGAAAGCAACGCAATAAATATCTGTCAAGCGTACTTATCATGAGCAGAACTGTATAATTCTTTATTGTTTTCAGACTGCTAATTCTCAGATTTAGGTCAATTTCTATCCATTTAAATTTCTAACTCATTTGCTTCTACGGCAATTTAATATTCATCATTAATTTCACTCTTGAGATTTTTAAAAAATTTACAAATCTAAAATAAGAAAGTAACGATATGTCTAATAATTTATATAGCAAGATAAGAACCACTTCATTCCAGGTCAAAATGTTTTCTTCGTTGAAGAGTAGAAAAAGACTCATTTAGGACATTTGAAAAAATATTTGCTCGTTGCTAAATGAGCATTTAATAGTTGTCGATAATGCACAGTTGACACGAGATGGATATGTAACAGTACTTTTTATTTGACTTATTTCTCTGATATATACAACTTAAGACCTTTGTATAACCTTTTAACAGCAAGTGTCTTCGCTACGAATTATTGCGTCATGTCATCACAGAAAAAATAGTAGAGTAGAATAAAGTATATGAAATACATATCATACCATTCGATGAAACTTTTTCAGGCTCTTCAATAGAAGTTTAATATGTGGAAATTTGATGAAAAATATTTTTAATATCGGAAAGTTGTTCAAACTGCTGACTCCTAGTTGGACTTCGTGATGTATATTATACTACTGAAATATAAAAAATAAATTTTCTTCATTGTTTTGTCAAAAATCGTGAAACTCGTCAAATGACAAAAGCATTTCAATATAAACCAGAAGACAAAATATACTGTTCAATGACATTATACGATGCTTGTATACATGCTTTCGACGCATTACCTATATGTGCTCTTGTTGACTCACGTTTTCTATGTATGCATGCTGGTATATCGCCTGATATTCGTACTTTATCGGATACTGAAAACTTGATCGTTTTAAAGAAAGTCCTCATTCAGGTCCATTATGTGATGTACTTTTATGTGATCCCAGTGAGAAATTTGATGATATTGATGAAGAACAACCTGATTTTAAACCAAATGATGTTCGTGGTTGTGCATATTTCTTTTCATATTATGCTTGTCGAGATTTTTTATTACGAAATAATCTGTTATCAATTATACGTGGACATGAAGTACAAAAAGATGATGTACGATTTTTTCGAAAATCATCTCGCACTAATTTTCCTGTAATTGTTTCTCTATTTTCGGCACCAAATTATTGTGATACATATAATAATGTTGCAGTTACACTTAGACTTGATGCAAATCAACATCTATCTGTTATTCATATTGAAGCACATAGTCATCCATTTGTTTTACCAAATTATGAGAATGGTAAAATAAATAAATGTTTTTCTTGTTAAATCAAAGATTTTTATCTTATTATAGGATTTCAATTTGGTGAACGATTTATTCTTTATTATACAACTCATCTTCTTCTTTCTATTTTTAATATGTATTCACCTGAAGAATTAGCTGCTGAAGATGGTCGAAAAGATAAAACAGGTGTGGAATTATTAAATAAAAAACGATTAATCACAGCCATGGATCAAACTTATACCCAATTGAAAAAAAAACAAATAATATTGCATTTAATCTACGTAATCTTACATCATCTTATGAAGAATTATTAGATCGACCAGATATTCAAGCATTAGTTAATGAAGCTGAAAAAGAACGAATTAAAAATTATGATCAAGCTATTCAATTAGATCAAATATTTGAACGACGACCAAATACCTGAGGATATTAACAAATATTGTAAACTTTTAGCATAGAGATATGGGTGCTTGGTCTAATATATATTATATTATATTATATTTAACATTTATCAAATAAACTAATTTTGATTTAGCATTATACAAAATAAATATATACAAGATAGTGCTCATTCTCCGGATTCGCTGACCCTTTTCTGAACGATACGAATATTATGCTGTTTTTTTACAAAAGAAAGTGGTTTAAATCTCGTTATAATAGTTTGATCGGTAATATTATCGGTTATCGCACACAGAAATTCACCTTGTTCCTACAGGACCTTCTCCATCTTTTCTTCTATGTATCAAAAATAAAAAAATGATGAAAATTCTACTTTTTTTTTGGTATACATTTGATTGTATCCCGAGATAGAAGAACCGTGACCACAAATGCTTTTAGAGTTTTCTTAGGCTCACTGAAACCTACTTATAGCCAAAACCTGAGGTCAAAAGTTTTTTAACAGTTCAGACACCTCCTTCATCAGTTAACAAGGGCAAAACGGTGTCTTGAAAAAGTACAACTCATTATCTTTGAAAATATCTATAGTGAGAAACGTTTTCTGTTAATTTTCAAATAGGGCCGACTTTGCTAGCAAATTTATCTTTGTCCTTTAAAAAGGAAATTATTTTTCACTTTCAAAAAATAAAGAAATTTCTATTTATTTATGTGCCTATAAAATTATGCGTCGAACAAAAACAGAGAGAAAAAAATGTTATTCAATCGATTATCCATTCATTCATCATCAATTTAGATTATATAAAAAAAAGTGTCATTGTTTATATAGACGACATCGGTCAGATAGAACATTTGAGTATGTCGGTATAAATACTGATATTTATAAGATGAGCAAAATAGATGTAGATATAGATGAGTATGGATCATTCATGTGTTCAATTGAATGATTTACCTGATGAAATTCTTATGATTATTTTTAAAAAATTGACTAATGCGGAGGTACTTTATTCTTTATTAGGTGTCAATAAACGATTAAATAAAATTGCACAAGACTCTGTTTTTACAAATGATTTGCCCCTTCTGATGTATACATCGGATGGTTTGATTTATTCATTACCTGATCTAATACTTGATCGATTTTCTTCACATATTTTACCTAAAATTTATCAAAAAATCGAATGGCTCCATCTTGAATCACGATCGATGGAACGTATTCTTCTTGCTACAAATTATCCAAATTTATATAGAATTAGTTTACATAATATTCAAGCAAAAACAGCTATAGATCTTTTTACTAGTAAGATATTTTACTTTTATTCTTTCAATAATAGACACATTAAATCTATAAATGAAATAAATTCATGGATAAATTTCTGGTCATCATTAATTAGATGATTACAGATATTACTAAGTTCAAAATGATTTTTCATTTGATTCGCATTTGTTAGTACGAAGAGAAGAAGATTGTCATCGAAGAGATGATTTTCCATGAAATTTAAGTACTTATATAAAAATAAGAGGCGCAGATATTGTCTCCAATTTAAAGTTTTAACTAAATTTTTGAAAAAGAAAATGTAGAATAAAATAGATGATGGCAAATATAATATAACATTTAAGATATAATATAAACGAATAAGTAAGTGTAAAGAAGAAAATCAAATATGTAAATTATATTATTATTAATAAATGAATAAAGTATACATAGTTAAATTTAAGCATTCATATAAAATAGTTTTTAATGATTTTTTAATCTTTTCATTGTTTAGATAAAACTTCCGTAATTCGTACCTTGAAAAATCAAGTTTTATCA